CAAGGTAACGAATTTATCTATAGTAGATATTTGAATATAACGATAACAAACATGTGTTCAACTACAAAAATTGTGGTTCTGATATCTGAAGATTTTATCTGACCAGCTCGTGGATTTATTGCACATACGTAAGTACCGTAATTTGCGGTCTCTTATACTAAACCCTTCCAAAAACAATTTAGACTCTGGGATTTTGAACGGAGGGATCTACTATCAGGTGGTATATATGGAAATATATAAAACCAGCATATAATAACTATAATACAGTACTAACCACATTATAGATCAGGTCTTTTACTTTTTGCTCTAAGCAAGGGTTGTTATTTAGACAATGTCTAATGAAAACCATATCATTAGACTTCATATGTCTAATTGCTTTTTTTATATGTTTAATGGGTCTAATCAGCCACAATTTAACAACCTTGCTCTAAACCAAACCCAAGTTACAGGCCTGGACCTCGATCAATCAGAACTAATACACAGGTCAACATACATGTAAATAATTTTTTGCATTTTTTTTAAAATTTTGAATGAACTTTTCTCGATAACTACCTGACAAACTTCTATAAAACCTTTTTATTTTAATTTTACAGATTTGTACAATTAAATTAAAAAATTTTTATCGAATTTTGCCAGATGACTGTCAAGAAAACTTCGTTCAAAATTTAGAAAAATCTGACCCGTTTACTAGTAAGTAATTTTGAATTTTTTTTCAATAATTACCTGACCAATTCGATAAGTTTTTTTTTTATTTATTTTAATTCTATACATTTGTAGAATTTAAAAAATTCCTCGAATTTGGTCAGGTAGTTGTTGAGAAAACTTTGTTTAAAGTTTTAGTAACAGCTAATTAGTAATGCATTTTTTTTTTTTTGATCGCGACATAATTTACTTCATACTGCCACAATATTTACTGCGTCCAATCGGAAATTAGGGCTGAGGAATGTGACCTTGTAGATCGGTTACTATATCTGGGAAAGTAATCGTCATTTATGATAAAAAAGTGATTAGTCTGATTTTATGATGAACGCAATTCTTTCTCTAATTCTCTCAACAAATGAAGAGTTTAACTTTACTTTCACAATTCACTGCCTCTTTTGGCAGTTCTAATCCTAGATTAAAAAGAACTCGACATACAGTTAATCCGGAAAATGGTGACATTTATTTCGTTCGCTTTTCAGAGTCTCAGGTCGAACTTGTTAAATGTTCTTTAGTACAGGTGATATGCTAATTCAAATCAAATTATCTTTGATAATTTATTCAACTATCATTTGTAGTTTTTTTCTATGATTTACTTTAATTTTTTTGAAAGGTAGACTCGGAATTTTGAAGTTTCTTCTATTATATTCTTCCCAAATAACGGCTCTTCTAATGATCTGGATGAGATCGTTAAAGAACTAAAGTTTTTGGTGGATATTCAATCGATATGCATAGCTTTTGGTAATGGTGATATAGTTCTTGTCCATTTAGATGCGGCGCAAGATTGTGAAGAGATGGTAAGTCCT